AATCAGAGACACAATGAGGTACATCTTCACACCCACTAGCATGGCTATTATCAAGAAAACAGGACATGTATGGACAAGAAAGTAGAGAAATTGTAACTCTTAGGCATTGCTGGTCAGAATGTGAAAGGATGTAGCCACTATGCAAAACAGTATGGTGGTTCCTCAAAAAAATAAAACTAGAATACTATATAATCCAGCAATCCCACTCCTATATATATACCCCAAAGAAGTGAAAGCAGGATTTCAAACATATTTGGACCCACATGTTTATAGTAGCATTATTTGCATAGCCAAAAGGTGGAAGCAACTCAAGTGTCCATTGATGAATGAATGGATAAACAAAATGTGGTATATTCATGCAATGGATTGTTAGCCTTACAAAGGAAATCTGACATGGATGAATCTTGAGAAAATTATGCTACTATGTTTTAAGTATTTGTCCTCTCTAAAACACATGTTGAAATTTAATTGCCTATGTAATAGTTTTAAGGGGTGAGTTTACCCTCATGGATGGGTTTATGTCTTAATTAAATATCTTTTGGGAGTGAACTCTCTCTTCACCCTTCCACCTTTCACTGCTCTAAGACACAGCAAGAAGGTCTCTGCCAGATGCTGGTGCTTTGATCTTGGAATTCTGAGCCTTCAGAACCATGAGAAAAACAACTTTTGTTTATTATAAATTACCCAGCCTCAGATACACTGTTGTAACAGGACATATGGATGAAGGCATATCATAAGTGAAATAATCTAGTCATTAAAGGACAAATATGTTATAATTCACACTTATATGAGGCACCTGGTAGAGTCATAGTCATAGAGATAGAAAGTATGTGAATGTACTTAATGTCACTGAACTATACACTTATTGGTTAAAATGATCAACTATACACTTATGGTTAAAATGATCAACGTTATGTTTTATGCTTTATCACAATAAAAAAGAGTGAAATTTTAAAAATCAGAGAAAAAAATGCCAGGTTATGTTCAAAAGAACTATGGCCACTTAACAGCAACACTGGGAATCAGAAAATGTATTTTCAATAGGCTGAAAAAAACTCTCATTCTAGAAATAGCTCCCCTGCTAAAAATACAATTAAAGATGAAGGCAAAATAAAAGTAATTTTTTTTTCTAAACTAACAAAAATCAATAGAATTATCCTCAGATAGACCTTTCCTGAAGGAAATTCTAAGGGATGCTTCTTAGACAGAAGGTAAGTGGTCCAGAAATGAATCAGGAAGGAATGGAGAACAAAGAAAGTCGCAAATATGTGGGTGGCTCTTAATCAACATTGATGTAATGATGTCTTGTGGGCTTTAAAAATATAGAGAGAGTTAAAATATAAAACTTGTACCATGAAGGAGGACAAATGTAATTAAAGATCCTTGCAGTGACCTGGAGGAAGGTAAAGGTAAAGACTTTCAATAGGTCAGGAATTCAGGTTTTAACCTATAACTATCAAAAAAAGAAAAGAATGATATAACTTTCATGTCAACAGAAGAGTAAAATGGTATAATAAAAATATTCAACCATTCCAAAAGAAAGCAATGAGAGAAAGGAAAAGGAACATAGAACAGACAAAACAAGTAGGCAGCACAGAAGAAGATGGTGGGGCTAAACCTAAAAGCATCTAAACAGGGATGGCACCTGTGGCTCAAAGGAGTACGGTGCCGGCCCCATATGCTGGAGATGACTGGTTCAAACCCAGCCCTGGCTAAAAACTGCCAAAAAAAAAAAAAAAAAGATTTAAAAAAAGCATCTAAATGGGTCAAATTTCTCATTTTTATCTAGATTAATAGAATAAAATGAAAGAAAAAAACAAAATCAAGTTATAGGTTGTTTAAGAGACATGGCACATAAATATATAGAAAGTTAGGGAATGGAAAATAATGGAAAAAGCACACAAACACTAACAAATGAAGCTAGCATTGCTGTGCTAATAAAAGATTAAGTCTTTAAGGCAAAAAGCTTTACTATAGGTAAAGATGGTCACATCATAATGTGGTTTAATTCACATATATTCCTATATGCATACAATAATATGGATTCAAAATACATGACACAAACATTGACAGATAAGCAAGGGAAAATAGCAAATTCACAAACATATTGGGAAGCTTTAATACATTCCTGTCAGTAATTGTTGGAACAAGCAGACCAAAAAAAGAAAGGAAAAACACAATAAAGGTATGGATTTAAGCAACACGATTAATAAACTTGACTTAATATTTGTATAGAATACTTCATCCAACAGCTGCAAACTCTTCAGGAACACATAGAACAAAAGTTGACCTTATGTTAGTTCATTAAATCCAAAAGTCTCAATACATTCAAAGGATTTAAATCATTTAAAGCTTAAACCCAATACAAAAAACTATACGTTATGTATGATATATAACTAGGCAATCTTATGCTTAGAAATTAAGGAATACTACTTGTCAAAATACGTCATATTGATAATTAGAAAGTATTTTGAATTGTGAAAAATTATTTAGTACCAAGATTTCTGAGATATAACGTAAATATTTCTTAGAGGAAAATGTGTTGACTTAAATATATATGTTAGAGAAAAAGAAAAGTGAAAGTGAATGAGCTAAGCATCCTTCTTAACAACTTAGGACAAATGATAGGAGTAATGAAATACAGAGAAGAATATAACTTAATAAAATAGAGAAAAATTAATAAACCCAGACATTTGATGAAAATAGGTATGCTGGCTTGGCGCCTGTGGCTCAAGCGGCTAAGGCGCCAGCCACATACACCTAAGGTAGCGGGTTCGAATCCCCAGCCAAGGCCCGCCAAACAACAATGATGGTTGCAACCAAAAAATGGCCAGGCGTTGTGGCGGGCGCCTGTAGTCCAAGCTACTTGGGAGGCTGAGGCAGGAGTCTCGCTTGAGCCCAGGAGTTGGAGGTTGCTATGAGCTGTGATGCCATGGCACTCTACCCAGGGGGATAGCTTGAGGCTCCATCTCAAAAAAAAAAAAAAAAAAAGAAAAGAAAATAGGTATGCTCTGGCAAGGATGATCAAGGGAAAAAAGTAAGGAAATAGCACATATATACAATATCAGGAAGGAAAATGGGACATAACTACAGATGTTATATACTTTATGCTAAAGAATATAAGCATTTATAAGGAAAGGACAAATCTATACAAAAATACAACTAATGGGATATATCTAAAAATGAAAGAAGGGAAAAATAACCTAAGTAGTGTAATAATTATTAAAGAAATGAAACCAGTAATGTAATAAAACCAGTAATTAAAAACCTTTCTGCAAAGAAAAGTCCAGGCATAGATGACTAAACTAGAGTTTTATAATATCTTTAAAGCACTGAATTCTCAAAGTGTGCTCCCAGAACAGCAGCATCAGCTTCACCTGGAAACTTGTTAGAGGTGCAGATTTGCAGGTCTACGATAGACCTAGGGAATTAGAAACTCTGAGGTGGACTTGGTAATCTGTGTTTTACAAGCCCTCCAGGTGAATTGGAGGCACAACAAAGTATAAGAACCTCTGACTTAAAGATAACTTCTATTTTTCACAAACTCAAAGAGTGGAAAAGAGGCTATGTTCTCAGCTCATTTTATAGTTGTCATACCCTTGAAAATAAAACTTGACAATACAAAAATATTACATCCCAAATTCATTCATGAACATTAGATACAAATGTGCTAAAGATAAGTTTATTAAATAATACATTATAACCAAGTTAAAATCATTCCAGGAATGCAAGGATGGTTTAACATTCAGAAATCAATTTGTATAATTTGTTATGCTAATACAATGTATTTGCAAAGTCATGAAACATGGAATAAACATCTTTTAAAATAGTATATTACTTTAATATCCTAAAAATATGCTTACTACCCCACAAAGTAGTAATTGAAACAGTGGTTTTAATTCTTTATCTGAAGTATAATAAATACACTACAAATCTGGAAATAAATGAAAATAACATATTTAATCTTTTTGTGATTAACAATGGGCCCTTTCTTTTCACTTTAGAGAAACTTTGCTCAAGTAGATGTCAGGAGATTGAAGAAAAATTGAACATATGAAGACTTGGAATATTTAAGCAGTTTTCTAAACAGAGACAACCATAGTTACAACTGGGATTGTCTTGCTTCAAGGATATTGCTCTTCTTTCTACTACTTCACACTTTTAATAGCACTTATTCAAAATGGCCACATTCTTTTAAGTATTCCTATTCCACACTTCAGCTATAAGAGTGGATTGGGAGGTGATAAAGGGTTGCAAAAAATGTTGAGAATATTTATAGTTTATATGCCTATTGTTATCTCACTGTATACTGAACCTTGAAATCATATTGGGAAACAGAAATTGAATGAGTTGTAACAAGTGTGGCATGCATTAAAAAGGAAAAGCATAAAGGCTATGATTAAAAAATTTCATTTTATGTTGGGGGGGATTCAAGAAGACTGCACCAAGGAAGTGATATAGACTGAGTTTTGAAAGGCATATTTTCTGTTCATGAACTTTAACTAAGTCAGACTCTCCCTAGTATTTTCTTAGATGATTTTCTTAGATCAAACTCTGTGATGTGGGGCTGCCACAATCCTTTCCTATCAAGGCTGCTTGAGATATTTTGCCATCCTGAATCTAAACTAAATCCCCATTATGGCTTCCTACTCTCTTTCTTTCACTATTCTTTTCTTCCACTATTTATCTTCTCTTTAGTACTTTAGAATCTTGAAGAATCCTCGCTAGGATATTTCCTTTCTCAGGAGCATTTGCCTTTTACAAGGACACTTTTGAATACTGAGAAACATTTAACTCATAAAAGAATGAATGAATTTCTAATAGCAGAATTTCAGTGGATAACAAAAAGTAATAAGGTAGGGTAATAAGATGAGGATAAAATGGAAGAAAAGTGGGGAGAGAGTTCAGAAGAATTAATGCAATACATTCTTCCATTCCATGTTTAATTACTTACAGTTCTAATCCACCAAAATATTTTTGATCTACCATTATTGTTGTAGTAATACGAAACAGCTATATGACTTAGAAAGGAATAAGGACCTCTCCCTACTACAAAGTATATTACGGACTTGGAAACAGATAAAATCTCTTCGACAACAGCAAGGGTTTACAAGCACCACAGTAAAGTTGCAGGTTCAGAGGTAAGTGACTGCTCTATTTGCTTTTATTGGTCTTCTGGAAATTGCCAGTGATGAACTGGGAATAGACAGTAACTGGGAAAAATTCAGAAGGTAGACAACTATGAATATATAAACAATTAGTATGACTTAATAAGAAGACAGCCCAATTTAAAAAATGGGCAAAGGATTTGAACAAACACTTCAGTAAAAATTGTACACAGATGGCAAAGGAACACATGAAAAAATGTGCATCATCATGTCATGTCAGAAGAGAAATGCAAATTAAAACCATAATGAAATACTACTACACACATATTTGAATGGATAAAATCCAAAATAAAACAAAATAAGAAAAGACACAAATGCTGAAAAAAGTGCTGACAAACAGAAATTTTAGACTCATTGCTGGTGGGAATGCAAAATGGTACAACCACTTTGGAAATAGTTTTGGCACTGTGCTATAAAGTTAAATGATTAGACCCAGCAGCCATACTTCCGGGTGAAACACATTTTAGATAATTAGATAAAAATCCCAAAACATATCTGGTGAAAGAGATAATAATAATTCAAAACAAAACACTTAAGATGTTTGTGAACTCACAGTACTAGTTTCCTCCCCACAACCCATTGCCCTGGGTTTTTGTTTTCGAAAGTATAAAAGTTTAGTGTAATTTCAGGCAGTGAAGAAAGATGTTTATTTTGTTGATTTTTTTCATGCTTCAGGCCTTTGTTTGTTTGTTTGTTTTTAAACAAAAGTGCTTCTGACAATTTCTACATCTAAACCCAACATGGAACTAGGTTTGAGACAGAGTTGAAGGAGCAACTCAGAGTTGAAGGGGCAACACAGAATTGTGGGGCAACTCAAAGTTGTTTAGGCTTTCTCACCCACAGTTTGGCACCTGTACATGGTAATATCATGATTATGTAACTGCTGTTTGACACTTTGCCACTGTTGTTCTCCAAAGTATAAAAGTGTATGGACCTTCCTGCTGTGTGGACTTCCTATGCTTGCTTCCCCCCGCCCCAAGCTGAATAAAAGCATGCCGTCCCTGCCCTTGGTTCCTATTTTTCTTTGGCCTGTTTGAATTGGATCATTTGCATGATGGAACTCTTAGACTTCTGAATTGTTATAAATCTAATGACTCGGTTCTCATCCTTTAAACTAGGGTTATCCATTTTTGAGGACCTTTTTTGCTTATCTGTGGTGTTGGATATCATGAAAAGTATATGCAGACCTTTTTTGTTTTTTGGCTAATCATTAGTGTTTGTATATTTACTGTGTGGCCCAAGACAACTTTTATTCTTTCAGTGTGTGGCAGAGAAAAAACAGATTGAACATGCCTGCTTTTTAAACCTGACACACCATGTGTCATGAGTCCATGAGTAAAAATGGGAAATTATTCAGAAAAGTAGCTGTGGACCCATATTGCCTGCTCACCAATAACTCTGAACGGTTGCCGCCACTTTTATCTTCAACGCCCCCCCCCCCCAACTTAGGTCTTATGCATTTCTTCTTCCTGACATTTAACAATCAACTTTACCAATGGACTTTGGAAAATTTCACCTCTTCAGACTGGCTCCAGTTGGAGACTTGTGAACTAAACCCCACACTGTCAGTGAACTAACCCCCCCTCCCCGCCCCCACACACACACTGGTCAGCTAGCCCAGGCGACCCTAAATCGGGGCATTTAGTTTAAGCAGTTAATGTATCATTCAGATCATCTAGAAGAGCTACACGTTGGAAGATGTTTTTGGAAACCCTGCTTCCTGGCCAAAGTTGCCACGACTTACTTTACAGAAAACTTGGTCCTTGTGAGTCCTACCTGAATAAACTGTCACTAGGCCACTAAGAAAGTTAATATGACAATAAGACCTGAGACCTAGAAACTTCACTTGGGTTATTTTTTCTACATATATTTGGTTTGGGGCATGTTGAATTTGATATGCCTTTGAGATATGTATCCCTAAATAAAGCAATTAAGTGGACAGTTGGATGTATGGTTTGTGCTGGAAATAAAAATATGAAGTCTGTTGCAGAGTAATGATAATTGAAGCCATAGGTGTGCACGAACTGCATCAGCAGAGGATAGGGAACAAGATGAGAAGAGAGCCAAGGACTGAGGCTTCAGAAACTGCTTTGACTGCTTTGGTAGAGGAGGAGAAACCAGAAAAGGGACAGAGAAGCACAAGTGTTTTGTCACAGAGGGAAGGAAAAGTATTTTAAGTAGGAGGAAGTGATTAACAGTGTTTAATGCCGCTAAAATATCAGGACTAAAAATGTTCATTGGGTTTCCTGACATAGAGGTTATTGGTAATCCTAACTAGAACAAGTTTTCTAAAGTGCTAGTGGCAGAAATGAGGTAGCAGGAATTGAGGACATAGTTCTGTCTTCTCATTCAGGTGATAAACTTTTCTTGTCAAATGTTAACAACACTACATTAAGTTTAGAGAAACTGGCTGGACAAGGAACTACAGACTTTGTTCTGTTTTGATGTGGAATCCACACCACAGCACTGGTGAATAGCACACAGAACCCAGATTCCTGTATATGATCTTCTCTTGTGCTCTTTGTTAGGCAGTACCTACCTGGGAATGATTCAGGTAACTGCCCAAGAAACTTTTAGAATGAGAAAGTGCAAGCTATACAAGAAGGAAACCCCATAATATCTGGTGGAATAACATGTCATCACTTTCCAGAGACACTTGGCCCCAAATAGAAAGGAGGAACCTGTGGGTCTAAGATCACTGCCTTAGTAACCTCCCTCAAAAGGCATTCTGGGTATAATATCCATTCTCTAAATTACTAATAACACCTATTCTCTAAATTATTATTATTTTTGAGACAGAGTCTCACTTAGTCACCCTGGAGTTGAGTGCCATGGCATCATAACTCACAGCAACCTCAAACTCTTGGGCTCAAGTGATCCTCTTGTCTCAGTCTCCCAAGTAGCTGGGACTACAGGTGCCCACCACAATGCCCTGCTATTTTTTTTAGAGACGAGGTCTTGCTCTTGCTCAAACTGGTCTCAAACTCCTGAGCTCAGGGAGCCCTCCCCTCTCAGCCTCCCAGAGTGCTGGGATTATAGGTATGAGCCACCACCTGGCCTAATAGTCTCTAAATTATTATACATTGGAATCAACTGGGGGAATTTTATTTTATTTTATTCTTTGTATTGTTTGGTATTCACTGAGGGTACAAAGAATTAGGTTAAACTGATTGCCTTTGTTAGGTAAATTCCGTCTCATGTCCCCAAGAGGTGTGTCAGACATCTTGACCCTCCCAAACTCCTCCCTCCTTTCCTTGTTCCACTCCCTTATTCCCCTACCCCCACCACGTATTAGGTCATCTATTGTCTTCATATTAGAATTGAGTGCCCTAGATTCTTGCTTCTCCACTTTTGTGATGCTTTACTAAGAAGAATGTGTTCCACCTCCATCCTGGTTAATACAAGAGATGTAAAGTCTTGCATTACTAGTAATAATGATTTTATAAGCTTGAAACCAATATTCAATTATTAGTTGTAAGTAGATTAGGAATTAAATTAGGAATATGATCACAGATGATGGACAAAAGAAAAACAGAAACAGGAGAAAAGTGATTCAAGAAAGCCTTAATTTCAGTGCAAAGCACTGTTTGGAGGCCTGCCCTTTTAAGCTCTGAAAGCTGTCTTGCTGGAACTTCCACCTACCCCTGCAAAGGGCAGAGTTTTCTGCTCAGGCAGGGCTGCTCACTCCAGGAGAGTGATTTTGGGGAGCTGAGAATGTAGAATGTTTAAACTTTGTTGAAGACAGCAAGAATTGCTCTGGACCAGAGGATATAAAAATGTCTCTTTTCTTCTTGCACCTTGGAGTCTGTCTGGACATAAGGCTTTCTGAGCATAACAATCACTTTTGTGATTTGTGTGCATGGCCTAATTGGGGTTTTTCTCTGACGTCTTGCTTCTGGACTATTTTGCTGTTCCATAATCTGTTTGTGTTAAGATCATAAATATCTTAAAGCATTAAAAGTAACAAGTTAATCATACAATTAATGTAGTTAAAGAAATAGTTAGAAAAATGCAAGTGGTTTGTGTTAAGATCATAAACATCTTAAAGCATTAAAAGTAACAAGTTAATCATACATAGTTAGTTAAAGAAATAGTTTAATTAGAAGAATGCAAGTGCAGCAAGAACCGTGATGGTTCTTTTGCCTTGTGTTCATGAGATTTATGATTGAAACACTGGTGTATGGAATAAATACAGAGCTAGCCTGGGTTTGAGGGCAGCATACTGGAAGCCTCATGAAGAAGGGTATGCTGTCTCCTGAACCCCAGCTAAACTCTTAAAAAGTATCTCTTTGTCTCTTGTCTATTATTTTTCATTCTTCGTCTTCTCACCCCACCAAGCCACTGGAAGGGAACCCATAGCATTGTTGGGGCTGGTTCCCAATAAATGTATATGTAATGGAGCTCCAGTTGTGCAATCGGTTAGCACATGGTACTGATAAATATATATGTAACATACATCCTGTGTTCACTTTGAGGCAAGATTTTAGCATTAAAATGAGATGCTAAAATCTCAAACTGTCAGACAGTTTGTGCACAGCTTGTGTAAGCAGCTGAAACTGTCTTAGGGTCTGTAGTTGCTCATCAGAGGAGAATGTTTGTCAAGGCCAGTCCTCTGTCCAGGAGGAGTTGTAGTGGTAAATCAGAGTTAGGGAGTTTAGCGAGAATGTGCTTTTTCTTATTGCCTTAGGAATTTAGAAATTTGCCATGCTAGCCAGGCCCTGAGTTCTTGACCCATAGGGAACTTATGCTTTCTTCATCTTAGGGTCCATTGTAGTTGGTAAGGGGTTGTCTCAGATCACAATAGCTTTTAAAAAGCTCTGTGAGATGTAATTTTCATTCTATACAGTTCACTCATTTAAAGTATATTTTTCAGTGGCTTTTGGTATATTAACAAAGTTGTGCAACAATCGCTACAATTTAAGCTTCGAACATTTTAATAGCTTCCAAAAAGAAGCCATCTTCCCCTTAGTAGTTACTCCTCAAATGTGTGTGTGGACACATGTTTTTATTTATTTATTTTTTTGTTATATACCTAAGAATGGAATTGCTGGATCATATGGTAACTTAATGCTTAACATTTTTTTTTTTTTTTTTTTTGAGACAGAGCCTCAAGCTGTCCCCCTGGGTAGAGTGCCATGGCATTACAGCTCACAGCAACCTCCAACTCCTGGGCTCAAGCGAGTCTCCTGCCTCCGCCTCCCAAGTAGCTGGGACCACAGGCGCCCGCCACAACGCCTGGCTATTTTTTGGTTGCAGCCGTCATTGTTGTTTGGCGGGTCCGGGCTGGGGATTCGAACCCGCCACCTTAGGTGTACGTGGCTGGCGCCTTAGCCGGTTGAGCTATAGGCGCCGAGCCTAATGCTTAACATTTTGAGGAACTGCCAGACTGTTTTTCAAAATAGCTGCACGATTTTACATTCCCAACAGAGCACATAATATTTTACCAAAGGCGTTCCCTCGTAAATGATTAAAATTAAAAAGCAAAACTTTGTACTGAAAAGAATAAACCTTTAAGCTATTAGAAAAACAAACTCCTACATCAATTATTTTTCTAAAATGGTTCTGGATAACTGGGATTCTTGTTGAACTATTAATCATAGAGGAATAATAATAATACCTACTTCACGGGGCTGTGAGATTTAAATTAGTTAATATGCGTAAAGTACCGTGAACATGGCCTAGCACATACTTAGTAAGTGCTGAATAAGTGTTAGTAGTGATAGTAGTAGCAGCACTAAGAGTACTAATGTCATGAGCTTTTTACTGTTCATGTAGAAACACTTACTATCACTGTGATCATCTGCTCTTGTACCTAGTCAAGTTCTCATAGCCTAAAATTGTGAGAAGAAAAATGAAAGGAAATATGATGTGCGCACATTAATTTATACTTCCCATTCCCCTGGTTACTTATTCTCACTAGAGGAAAGGTTGCTTCATGGCCTTAGAAGGTGTTATAAACAGTAATGGTAAATTTATGAAGAAATCTGTGTAAGCTAAGAAGAAGTTTGTGACAATTTTTTTAATGTTAATCATATTGATTATTTCCTTAGGATATAAAATAATTTGCTGTAAAAGATTGGCATATGTGTCTGAGTTCTTTTTTTTTTTTTTTTTGAGACAGAGTCTCACTTTGTAGTCCTCAGTAGAGTGCATGGTGTCATAGCTCACAGCAGCCTCAAACTCTTGGGCTCAAGTGAGTCTTTTGCCTCAGATTCCCAAGTAGCTTAGACTACAGGCACCTGCCATGATGCCTGGCTATTTTTAGAAATAGGGTCTTGCTTTTGCTTAAGCTGGTCTTGAACTTATGAGCTCAGGCAATCTACCCACCTCAGCCTCCCAGAGTGCTAAGATTACAAGCATGAGCCACCGCACCTGGCCTCTTGTGTGCGAGTTTTGACAAGACCTCTAACAACTCTCTAATATAGTGATTTTCAACCACTGTGACATGGCACATTGGTGTGCTGTGAGAAGATCTTAGGTGTGCCATGAACAATTTTTAAGATTATCAATTAAATTATTTTTGAAAGAAGTTCAAAGCACAGTAAGTGTATTCTTTTTATTACTCTTTTTTTGATTGACATAATTTAAATGTGCCACAGAAGTCTAATTATAGGTACAAGTGTGCTGTGAGATAAAAAAGGTTAAAAAACACTGCTCTAATATTTCTGCTTTCAATAATTCTACTTATTAATTAGGACAAAAAGAAATAAATATGATGAACAAGAACAAGGGCAAATGTCAGAAATGTATGAGACTGAGGAGAAAACTGAAGGAAAAGCACTTACCAGTGAAGGAAAGCAGGAGGTATTTGCATTGCAAAATATTATTCAATTCATCTTAACTTGTTATAGCAGTTCATTGTTTTATAGAATAGGAAATTTTGGTATTTGTAACAAATAGCTAACTAAAATGACAAATAAAAGAAATAAAAGTCTAATTTTAAGAACAATTATCCTACATAAGAAATATTCATGGTAAATTATGTATTCTTTTTAATTTTTAGAACCACTCATATTTAGCTTCAGATCTTAAAGAAACAGAAATCAAAAGAATAAAGCCAATTAATTTGATGCCACAACTTTCCTTCATTGAAGAATTAACAAACTTATCCAAGTGTTCAGTGTAAGTACTTTTTAAGAATTATTTCTGCATTGTATATTGTCTATCACTTACATTGTTTTTAATAGTGTTAGATTTTTTTGAGTGAATGCCATATGCCTGGCACTCTGCTAAGTTTTTTAAAAATACATTTTCACATTTAATTGTCACCATAGTTCTAGTTCTCTATTATTATCTTTATCTTAGAGATGAGGGAATTTATGCTTCTGGCAGATTAAGTTGGCCAGGGTAACACATCTAATATATGACTGAGGTGGGTCATATTGCAGTCTGGTTTGATATGGCGGCTATCATGTCTTTACTGCCAAGCTTCACAGATTGATAATTGGGTTTTTTTCCCATGATAGTAATTTTTGTTCAGATATGGATAGGTGGGATATAAAGCTACTATAAAAAAAATAAAATTGTACCATAGCCTTTGCTAGTTAAAAGACCCCTGGCCCTTATAAAAACTATTCTATATTAAGAGGGTTCTTTTCTTTTCTTTTCTTTTCTTTTTTTTTTTTTTTTTGAGACAGAGCCTCAAGCTACCGTCTGGGTAGAGTGCCGTGGCATCACAGCTCATAGCAACCTCCAACTCCTGGGCTCAAGCGAGTCTCCTGCCTCAGCCTCCCAAGTAGCTGAGCCCACAGGCGCCTGCCACAATGCCTGCCTATTTTTTGGTTGCAGCTGTCATTGTTGTTTGGCAGGCCCAGGCTGGATTTGAACCTGCCAGCTTAGGTGTATGTGCCTGGCGCCTTAGCCGCTTGAGCCACAGGTGCCAAGCCTTCATTCTTTTCTTATTGTGACTTTTTCCTTGAGCTATCATTTTTTCTCCTTATGGCTAGGACAGTATGCAGAAACAGTTATCATACATATCCCCCTTTCTCTCACCTGCTAGGCTTATGAATGGCTACCTAGAACATGAGGTCCAATTGCTCAGCATTTCTATCCCATAACACGCTTTGTACCAGTCCATCTGTGGGTATTGTGAATGTGCATTGTTTAGCAGAGTGTTAGAACAGTGGGTGCCCAATAAATATTCATATTTATTAAATGAATAAATGATATTTACATTTTAAAAGGAACATAAAAAGTAACAGGTACACAGGCACAATTACCACTACACTCGTTCTGACCAGAGAAGGGCAGCAATGACAAAATCCTTTATTTGTTCTATACTTCCTTCCAAAAAGGGCCTGAGATGCTTTATTTAAATGAGGATAGTTCCCATCTAAATGAGAATAAGAAAAAAGTAGCTGTAAAGTGGAAGATGGAAAGAAAAAGAACAAAAAGGAAGAAGATCTTTGTGCTAGAAAATCTAGACTAAAACTTCCTGGAACCCCAGTCCATGACCTGTTAGGAATCAGATCACACGGCAGGAGCTGAACAGTGGGCGAGTGAGCAGAGCTATCTGTATTTATAGTCACTCCCCATCGCCTGTATCATGGCCAGAGCTTCACCTCCTGTCAGGTGCCACCCCACCCACCCTACACCACCCCTAGTCCATGGAAAAATTGCCTTGTATGAAACTGGTCCCTGGTACCAAAAAGGTTGGGGACTGCTGCTCTGTAACTTTTCAAAGCTATTGTTATCTGGTAGCATTGCTGTCATTCATTTATAACACATTTAAAACATCCAGTTGAATAAAAATTGATTCTCTAGAAAGAAACAATATGTTGATATCAAAGATAGACGTGAAAAGAATACAGAAATTAGAAATTAAAAAGAAATTACAGGTGAAGAAAAATGCAAGATTTCCTGACGATAAATAAAGTCCTGAATTCACAAATTCTCTCAGTCAATTCATGTCCTCATTGTTAAAACGACTTTTAGAGGGCAACATAAAAGTTACTTTTGCTTAGATATTTCTCTAAAGCAGCGGGTTCTCAACCTGTGGGTCGAGACCCACAGGAACTGTATTAAAGGGTCGCAGCATTAGGAAGGCTGAGAACCACTGCTCTAAAGGTAATTGGGAAGATAGCCAAGAGAGGCCAACAGAGAAATAGGAAGAGTAAGTAGTCCTTTGTCTCCTATCCTCTGAGTAGATTATAGAGTTGGGCAAAAAGGGCAGGGAGATGCTGGGCCCACAGGATGATTAGGGTGGGAGCAGAAAGGGATTTTTTTGTTTTAATCTAAGTAGGGCTTATCTTTCAAACTGTCTTCTCTCTTCTGAAAAAGAAGGTGGTCCTAAAGGTCAGGTTAGTTGCCTTTCAGCTGAGAAGATATAAGTGTTGGTTAAGTGAATGAATGAACGGCTGGGAGTTGTGTATCACTGGAAGGACCAATTTATTCTCCATAAGGTATTTCCTTAGAAGCCCCAGGGAAGCAATCTGGCTCTCCTATCTGATCTTTGGATTCAGAGAAAAAAATAGCTTTTCTACTGTCCGGGGAAAAGTGGTACACAGCCTAAAGCCTAAGGGGAATTACAAAGACCTTTAGGAGGATACAGCAAGCTTATTGCCTAAGAGCCACGTCCTAGAAGTTATTGAAAACATGTGTCTTTTGAAAGTTAGAAAATATTTTTGAAGTTTTGATTCAAGCCCATCTATCACGCTTCAGTTTTCTCCTAAGACATCTTATGGATTAAGTGCTATAATCTCTCTAAGTTATAATTTAGGAGAAAAATAGCTGAATGATTTACAATACCTTGATTTTAGTTCTTTTTCTACTTTTGAGTATCTATTTTTCATTAGAAACATTTGTGAAGGAGAAACTTTTATCCACATATAGACAAGCGCTACTTGGTTTAGACATACCATTTGTCCTCTAAAAAGATCATCTTTTTGACATGCTAAAGTACTTTTTGAAAGAACAATATTTTATATCCATTCTGTTTTCAAGGGTCAATTAAAAGTTTATTTAATTTTCAGGCATGAACAAAAAAGGAGAAGCAAAATTCAGAAGCTTAAATATTTTATTAAAATATTTTACAATGATAAGCAAGTTTCTCGTACTTCAGTATCTCCCCTACAGTTTGATTTTAAAGTCATGTTTCAGCAAATTTTCAATATTCGGTTATTGTATTGGCCTGAAACAATTTGCTTGAAGGTATGCTATTGTCATTTACTGTGGTATCTTATATATCTTTTTCATCTAATGTATGTATTATGCCATTAAAATTAAAAAATTTTTATTAGTAATTTCTTTTATATGAAGAGATGACTCATTCTATGCACATGTATCTTATATATTGAGATTATCTCTATGGGTAGGCAAGATACTTATAATTATATTTAAATGTATAATATAATATTTTATTTAATTTGTAATTGTTCCAAATACTTTTCTTCTGCTAAAATTTCTGTCAGCTTTGGATGTGCGACATTACTGTGCATTCTCAAGTAAGGTAGAAGAGTTGTTTAAAGTGTAATGAGTAACATGGCCTTCACCGCACTTTCTTAATTATTGTGTTAAGACATTTATACTCTATACTTAGTAGATTTGACATGTACCCTTGAAGGCTATGTTAACCAGTTTGTTATAAGTATTTCAAATTATATATAAAACCAGCGCATTGTACCCCATAAAATCCATTATTGTACACAGCTATGATTTAATTAAAAAAAAAAAAAGGGTAATGAGTAGCATAGCTATTGTAAGTATAGAATGATTTTTCCAAATTGTCCCAGCCCTGACTTAGTGGCTTCAGTCTCTTGATGTATTTTTTTCTTCATCTGTTTTATATTTTGGGTCCCTTTAAAAATCATATGAAAGCATATACACAAGACTCCCAATTCCTGCTCAAACATCTTTCCACCATAAGAACCCTTGCACTAAAGGAAGAAGAAAATGAGATAATGGAAAAAAATTAGAGACAGTAAAGGAGTCTAAACAAGAAGTCTGATGGCTAATATAGCTGTTAAACTTAAATCTAGACTTGAAAGAAAAGTGAGGAGAGAATAAAGATTAGTGAGTAAGAAAGTGGGGCTTGAGGAGTAGGGAAAGGATTATAATTACAACTCTAAATCAAAATTATTTTTATAACACTAAGATAATTTTGTTCTATCCTTCATAGGTGCTCTATTCAGTCCTCATTTATTCAATTTCCTATCATCTTTACAGTGTCCCTCTGTTTAAATTCCTGCATTAAAAATATGCTAACTATATTTTCTACTATTGAGCCTAAAGTAAATTGTGATACAATAATCCAATCACTTGAAGTTTAAAGTTTGCTTCCCCAAAAGGTAAATGTGTATTTTGAATCCTTCTTCATCCTGTCAGTTAGCATGTCATTTTTTTTTTTTAGTTTTTAAAAATTAATTAATTTTTATTGTTTGGGATTCATTGAGAGTACAAAGAATTAGGTTACACTGATTGCATTTGTTAAGTAAATTCCCTCTTATAATTGTGTCCCACCCCCAAGAGATGTGCCATACACCATGACCACCCCCCAACCTTCTCCCTACTCCTCCTCCCTGCTCCCTCATTCCCCTCCCCCCACCATGTATTAGGTCACTTACTGCCTCCATATTAGAATTGAGTACGTTGGATTCTTGTTTCTCCATTCTTGTGATGCTTTACTAAGATGAATGCATTCCACCTCAATCCAGGTTAATACAAAAGATGTAAAGTCTCCATCTCTTTTAATGTCTGAATAGTATTCCATGGTATACATATACCGCAGTTTATTAATCCATTCCTTAATTGGTGGGCATTTAGGTTTCCACATTTTGGAGATTGTAAATTGAGCTGTGATAAACAGTCTACTGCCAATGTCCTTGTAATAAAACGATTTTTTTCCTTCTGGGTAGATGTACAGTAATGGGATTGCAGGATCAAATGGGAATGATATAACCTTTTTGGAAGGAAGTATGGAGAATCCTCAAAGAACTCAAATTAGCACATCATTCTAATAAACTAAGAGGAAGGGAAGGAGAGGAATCTAGTTAGAGACAAACTGTGCCATTAGCAGCTGCAAAAAATTGAAAAGTAAATCTTTACACTCTAGCCTAAAAGATTATAACTGCGTTTCTACTTCATTTCTTACCTCACCTCTACTTTTCACTTCAGCCAATCTGAACTGCTTTTTTCCCCTCATACATCCTTGCAATTGTCTAGCTTTTATACATTCTAGCTCCTCCATATATGTATGTATGTATGTATTTTTTGAGACAGAGTCTCATTTGGTCACCCTTGGTGGAGTGCTGTGGCATCATAGTTCACAGCAACCTCAAACTCTTTTGAGTAATCATCTTGCCTCAGCCTCCTGAGTAACTGGGACTATAGGCACCTGCCACAACACCTGGCTATTTTTTAGAGACAGGGTCTCTCTCTGGCTGGGGCTGGTCTTGAACCTGTGAGCTCAGGCAATCCACCTGCCTCGACCTCCTAAGTACTGGGATTACAGGTGTGAGCCATCGTGCCTGGCCCGAGCTGCTCCATTTAGAAGCAATTTCCTTTTCAACACTTTTAAGATTCTCAGCCTCACCCACACAGTGGTGTTGATAACTGTCATCAGGTCACAGGTCTCCTAGGAGACCTTACCAGGTTGAATTTTCTATTTTTGTATACTTACCACTGTCCGAGGTCTGGCCTCCAGCTGTAGTCAGAGAACTTGGATTTGCCAGGTCACTGAAAATGCATCTATATACCCTAAGCAAATTCAACAAGGTTAAAGTGTTAAAGCAGAGGGTCACCAACACTTGAATATATTTATCAGTTCATTTTCTCTTTTAGCCAATTTACTGATGTATAAGAAGAAATTTCTCACTCTAGGACTGTTGCATGCTTATAATCCCAGCTATTTGGAAGGCTGAGGGGCTCCTTAAGCCCAGGAGTCAGAGAGCAGCCTGGGCAATAAGAGACCTTGTCTCTTAAAAAAAAAATTCTTTCACAGGCTATAGCTCCTACATACCCTTCTGCATTAGGGATGCCTTTGACAAAGAGATCAGTGTATTAGCTTAAATTCACTCTTACAAAAGATTATTTAGATGACCAGAAAAAAATACGTCATTATTCAGCTTTCTTGCTTTCTTGGCTAATCAGCCATCCTTTTAATTGGCACATTCTTATCTTTCAAGGGTCAGTTTTCCCCTTGATTTCCTTCTTAGAGCACACTGTTTCCCGAAGCACTGATTTCCTTCTTAGAGCACACTGTTTCCTGAAGCACTGACAAAATTCTGTAAGTCAAAATGACATTTTTCTATTGAAAAAAATTTGGGGCTCCACGCCCATAGCGCAGTGGTTACAGTGCCAGCCATATACACTGAGGCTGGCAGGTTTGAACTCAGCCTGGGCCTGCTAAACAACACTGACAACTACAACCAAAAAATAGCCTGGTGTTGTGGCAGGCACTTGTATCCCAGCTACTTGGGAGGCTGGGATTACTTGAGCCTAAGAGTAAGAGGTTGCTATGAGCTGTGACACCACTGCACTCTACCAAGGGTGACATAGTGAGATTCTATCTCAAAAAAAATAAATAAAAATTAAAATATGTTGGTTTCTAGTTATGGCACTGAACTTAGATGGAATTGTAGTAGAAAGCACAGTACAATCAGAAATCCTTGGCTTAGTATTCACTGAACCCCAATGGTACTTTCTACTCCGCACCTCCTTTTTCCCTTCTGGAACTTTTCCTCCCTGCCTGACTCCCTTAACTTGTTTAACTTGTCCTTAAATTCCATGAGCCAATGAGTCTCCCTTCTTGCTAACTAATTCTGCCAGAGTTTCTATCACTTACGATAAAAACTAATATACTTTCATCTGGAACCTCTATTTACTCTTTTATAAAGTGAGAATAATATCTTACTTCCTATAATTTTTATCAGGTTTAAATGAGATAAAGAATATTTAAAATACTACACAAAGTAAGTTATTAGGATATTGTGTTATATGAATCTGTGTTCTCAGAACTGTATTTTTAATACTTACATTCAACTTATTTTCTATAAAAACATTAGAAGAGGGTATATGATTATCTGCTTTCCTCATCATGTGGTTGAATTGCTATAGCAACACCTATTTTCAAGTATTTTTAAAAAATGAATGAAAATGTTATTGAGGGTTTTCTTTTCTATTTTGTATTTCTTGAGAGCTATCAGCTATTTCTTTTTCTATTTAGGTTTATGAAATAAGTAAAAGTACAAGATTACTGGCAAAACTATATTTACCTTTCCCTAACTACACAGAGCTGAAAGGCAAAAGTATTTTGGAATATGTAGAGTTTAGCTCTGATAAGCTGGTCACACCTGTGGATGGAGAAGTAGGAAGCAGTGAGTTCACTAAACATGTTTCTTCCCCCATGTTTTCTTCATGAGCACCATCTCCTAAACAACCCTGGGCCATTTACGTGTGGAAAGAATTTGGTATTTATAGTGGGGGTTAAAAATGAATTAAATTCTCCATTTGGTGTTAAACTAGATTGTTTAAACCTTTGTCTTCAATCAGATTTTCAGGAAATTTAAAACTTTCAGTTAGCACCTATGCTTTTCATCCAGCACAAGAGCATCATGCTTTCTGGAAGCGAGCTCTGCTCTGCTCTGCCTCTGCCTCTCCTTCAGTGAGCCTAAGGGGCGCCAGGACATGTGCTTTAGTCTCTATGTAGGCAAGGGAGAAAGAAAAGGAGGGAAGGGAGACAAGAAAAAAGGGTAGAGAAAAAAGAAGGGATATTTCTGTTTGTTTTTCAGTAGATTTTAGATTTTACTCTTAGGCAGTTAACTTTAAGTTAGCACGTCCCTGAGAACACTGTCATTCCTATCCTCTGCAAGATTCCTTTCCTTTACCTTTCTAGGGGTTTCGCAGTTGTTCATGTGGTGGAAAGGAAGGAAGTACGAACAAGTGAGCAGGGAGAAGAGAAGAAAAGAAGTAGGCAGACGTGCCTGGGGAGAACAGGGAGTGAGGGGAGAACAGATTCTGTTCAGAGTTTAGGTGAAGTAGAAAAAGAGAGTTGTGGAGACCCAGGAGAAAAGACTCAGGACTCAGAAACTTTAGGAAACACAGAAAAAGTTCCAGGGAGTAATGGTAAAATCTCTGGAGATTTAGAGGAAAAATGGGTAGAGACAAAAGATCAAGAAGGTAGGGAAAGGGAGACAGAGCAGCTTGTCTGCCTCCTTTTCTGCTGCCAGTGGTTCTTCCCTGCTGGAAGCCACTCCCAGAAAGAATGGTGACAAGACTTCCCGGCATACAAAGAGGAAAATGGTGTTTAGCCCTGTGCGTTCAGCTCAGTCTTTTTCTCTTTCTTTTGTAGCCTGTTTGAGGCAGACTTCTGGAGGTCTTGGAGATGCTCAGGGAACAGCCTGGGTGCAAAACAGAATATGCCTTTGTGTTTCTTGGGTTCCATAAGTAAAAGTCAAGAGAAAAATCCACAATTTGCTTCTGCACATTTTTAAAATTTGTTTCTAATGCCTTTTATAAACAGATGTGCCTTTTATTCTTGGGGAAAATGGAACTGAAGAACTGTGTCTTTTAACTTCGGGAAAACTTAGCTATTCTCTTTCCTGGGCCTTAGATGAAAATGGCATTCCTTTGACACCTCTGTCCCAGTTATCAAGATCTACTTACTGCAGGTAATAAAGATTTATGTTTGAAAAATAATGCCAGTTCTCAGTAGGGCATTGCATAAAACGTGTATGTAAAAGGGAAAAGCCAAGCATTGGTAGGAACAGTTTAGTTTATATGGATATTAATTTCCTTTTT